TTTTCCCTCCCGACAACTCCCCTTTAAAGTATAAGCTTTAGGAGGGCATGGACTATGTTTGCTTTGTCCATAACTGAAACCTCAGAGCCTCATACATAATATTTATTTGATAAACACGTATTGGACAAATGAGTGATGGCACACTAGAGCTAGTGTATACCCGACTGGTCTATTTGGAATTTATGTTCTATTCATTTCTTGTATTTTGGGAGCACATGGGATGACTTGTTTAACCTTATAATAAGCCAACTTGTAGCATAGTTCTGTCAAGTTTCCAAGTGATAATTTATTTCAAAATGTACTTTCCAGGTATGTGAGCCTCATAGCTAATATTGGTGAAATATAGCCATTGTGTGCATCCAAGGCAGATCGTGAAGCAGTCATTGCTTTATAATTCAGCAGACCATAATCTCATGGGGCGGGGGAATGCCAGGGCAATACAAACATGATTGTCTGAATCATACACATTTCTACCTTATTTTTTTAATTTATTTTTATTTTTTTATTGGAGTTCTATTTGCCAACATATAGCATAACACTCAGTGCTCATTCTGCCAAGTGCCCCCCTCAGGGCCCATCACCCAGTCACCCCAAACCCCCGCCCACTTCCCCCCTTCCACTACCCCTTGTTCATTTCCCAGAGTTAGGTGTCTCTCATGTTTTGTCACCCTCACTGATATTTTCACTCATTTCTACCTTCTAAGCACTGAGTTATCTCTTTTCCTTGAATATTCTTCATCTTGTAGTTTTGAAGGAAACTCCTGTAGGATTCTATGTCCCTGGGATGTTCTAAGTATGCTTGGGTGGCCCTTCTCATTTTTTTATAGATTTTATTCATTTATTTATGAGAGAGGAGAGAGAGAGAGAGAGAGAGAGAGAGAGAGAGAGAGATAGAGCACAAGCAGGAAGGAGAGGGAGAAGCAGACTCCCCACTGAGCAGGGAGCCTGACGGGGAGCTCGATCCCAGGACCCTGGGATCATGATCTGAGCTGAAGGCAGATGCTTAATCAACTGAGCCACTCAGTCACCCCCTTCTCAGTTTTTAATGATGTTTTGAAATACGTTTCTTGAAGGAAGGGGGAGTAAGGCAGTACGGGATACTGAAAAGACTATGTGATGGAGTCACTAAGTATAGACATAAATTCTAGATCCATCACTTTCTAAGGGATTGGTTAGTTTTATGCATGTGTGTATGTATGTATGGTTGACACACAATGAAACATTACTTTCAGGTGTAATACAATGATTCAACAACTTTATATTTTATACTGTGAGTGACTAATTTTTAACTTGTAAAAAACCCATTACATCATTTGTAAAATAAATATAATAATACTTACATCTCAGGGTTATTATAAGGATTATTGGCATATACATGCTGCACACAGACACATCTACACGCAGATACTTAATACACATAGAAAATAATATCTTAGGGAAAACAGGATGTATTTTATTATTTGCAACATGAAAGCCCTGTGTGTGTCTGTAAATATAAATTGCCCAGGACATTCTCTTCGGTTCCTCTTACATCACGTGTTCTTATATTCTCTCCTTACTTTATGACTTGCCTTTGTTTCCTTAGCTGGCTTTTCCACAATCTGACCTCTTTGTGGGGCTTATTTCTCAGTTCCACCTTTTCCTTATTTATACTTGCTCTCCAGGTGACTATATTCATTGCAAAGATTTTATATATTGTTGACCCTCAGTTAATATCTCTAACCCAAAACACTCCTCTTGGTCCAATTTTATATATCTACTTTCCTACTTGGCACCTGCACCTAGGTGCTTTAAAAGCATCTTGCGGTGCCTGGGTGGCTCAGTTTGTTGGGTGCCTGCCTTCAGCTCAGGTCATTAGCCCAGAGTCCTGGGCTTGAGCCCTGAATCAGGCATCCTGCTTATCAGGGAGTCAGCTTCTCTTTCTCCTCACCTTGCTTATTCTCTTTTTCCCTCAAATAAATAAATAGAATCCTTTAAAAAATATCTCAAATTTAACATATTCAAAATAAAATTATCAAGTTTTTCTCTGTCTCCATTTGTTTCTGTACTAGTTTATCCCATATCTTTTAATGGTAAAATAGACTAGTTCTTAGACTCAAAACCATTTTTAGAACAATGAACAGCTAGAGCAATCTTTCATAAGATTGAATTGTGCCAGTCATTTGTTTATATCCCCTCCTTGGTTTTCTGTTGCACTTAACATCCAAATTCCTATAAGAGCCTACGTGATTCTACATGGTCTGGCCCTTTCTTACTTTTGCAACCTCATCTTGTACCACGGTTACTCCCATTCTTTATGCTCTGGCCACACTTTTTACATGACACTCTATTTTATTGTTCTTTGCACTTACCAGGCTCTAGTTTAAGTCACGTTTTAGAGTACTATCTGTAAGCCCTATAGGAAGCATGTATCACCTGTTCTCTCTTGAATATTTAATTTCCAGGACAGAATCATAGTATAGGCATGCCATAAATATTTGTTAAATGAGTCAATGAACAAGTGATGGATGCTCATTGAAAGATAATGATGGCAATTATCAATGTACATCATTGCACTTCTTTGTTACATTAGTCTTTCCCACTCAATAGTTAGTAGATATTTCTTGAATGAGTTAAAAAATTAATTTAGCTTATAACTGGAAGATAATATTTCAGTGTTTTTTTGTGTGTATATATTTACTGTGTCTCAACATACAGGGCTTGCTTAAAATCTAACATAAAATTCATGGGAATATTTTAGTTTCACCATTTTGATAGGCCACTTCTGGTCTCACATACCACGTTGATGCTCTTATTGTAATAAAAATGAATCCTGTTTCGTTAGTTTGTTCACTAATATTCTGGATTTAATAAGACATTGTGCTTCCTTTTACCTTGGATTTTTTGCTTATTTTTGGTTTTATTTGTTTTGTTTTGGTCTATGGTAGAATTCATATGTTCATGAGAATAAACATTGGTCTCTGGGTCTTTGATCTAAGCAAGCAGAGGGAAAGCTTGAGAATGTTCAGACAATTTCCCAAATGAAAAAAAAGTAGTATTTTTAATCAATTAAAATTAATCTTTTTTCCTGCCCCCTGTCTACAATGCCAACTTCCATACCAAAACTGATTTTTTTTTGCCCTAAATATTGCTAAACACCTAGTTATTCTGGAACATCTAGTTATTTGATGAGGTTTTTTATTTTAATGTTTGACACTTTGCAGGGGAGGCTTTCTCTGTTGCCACAGAAAACAGTAGAAGGCAGTGGTAGAAACGGTGAGGCAGGGGTTGGGGAGTGACTATAACTGTCATTCAAATCAACTTCACTTAGTGTCTGGACTAGATATTTTGCAGATATGATGAGTTTTGAAAACCATTAGTACACTTGAAGAAGAATACATGTGTAAATTCCTGAAGAAGCATTACCTGTCTTTGAAATGTGTTGCTTGGGGAGTTAGTCACTTGAAAACAATTTGAGATCCTTGGCTGGCAGAGAGGATAACGTACAAAATAAATCTCTTAAACAATTTCAATAACCCAAATCATTAATTTGTCAGTTCCCTTTTACAAACTCTGCTAGAATTTTCTGTAGGCAATTTGGGACAAATTTCCTTCTTCCCAGGACTTTAAACTGAAATAGATGACTACATTCAAAGTTGTGCTAAGTTTCTACTTGGACGGGTAGTTCTAATATGCATCCTTCCAGCCCTTGGAGTCTTGGTGATATGGATTTTTTTTTCCTGGACCAGAGATAGAGGACTGATTACTGTGAATTTTATTACAAGACTCTGTAATTACTCTGAAGACTCTGGAGGACTAAGTGGGTTGCCAGAGAATTTTCTGTCCTCACCACCTAGCTACAAAATGCCCTTGGAAATATAATAGCAGAAAAGGTCATGTCCTGAATATATGTAGTCTTATTCAATATACAAAACATTTGCATAGTTGATGTCTTATGTTGATTCCCATAGGGTAGCCGAGTACATATGTTGGGACTTCTCAGATGAGGAAATTCTGGTACTGAGAGGTTGAACAATTTAGTAATAGTTCTCAAGAGCAGAACTGGAATTTGAACTGAACATTATTTTCCCCCAGAACCAGTGCCTGTTTCACTATATTTTTCAAAGTAGTTAGGGAATATTTTACTCTGCCATACCCCCCCCCCTCCTTCTTTTCTGTAGTTCATTTAGTTTGGAAATACCTACCTGCCCTCAATATGTCTTTGTTCTATGTTATATAGAAATGAGACACAGTACTTACTAATTGGGAAGATTGTTTAGCTTGCCTTACACTGTATTTGAACAGGGGTTATGTAGCCTTTATTAAAAAGTCACTTAATTTTTGTGATTACATAGTTAATACATGCTTAATGTTGAAAATTCAGAAAGAAGTATAAAGTATTTCGAAAACAAAAAGTATAATCACCAAGAGATAACTAATGCTTGTTGTTTTGGGTTACATACTTCCTAAAGTTTTCTGTTTATGGCATAGTTTTGTTTTTAGGATACTTTCTCTCATCTCCACATAAGAGTATTATCTGGCCTACCACACATAAGATTTGCTTTTGTGAACTCCAGATGAACAAATAAAAAAAATTGATATAAGTAAAGTAGGATCAAGAAGCTCTGTCGGATTGCTTCCTCAAATTACAAAATTATAAGAGATAGACAAAGGAGAGTCTTAAAGATTTTTAGATTATTTTTTCAAAAAGATTATATTCCTAATCTACATCATCATCAAAATGTACTAGTATAGACCATTAGAGCTTCCCAAACTAGTTGTACTTATGTTGTTAAATATCCATGCTATTTTTTTTCCAGGTTTTGAAGATCATGACCACATGGATGCATCTAACTAAATGGTACGTGGGGACACGGTGGTCCTTTAGAGAGCACATCTAAATTACTGGCTAATTTCTTGGTTTGCCACCCAACATAGGACGTTGTTTGATTCTATCTGTCAGAACTCTCCTAAATTTTCCCCACCATGCTATCTTTATTAGCTTGAACTCTTTTCCTAAAATGGTCCTTCTGTTGATCCTGTCAGTTCTGCTTTTGAAAGAAGATGTCCGTGGGAGTGCACAGTCCAGTGAGAGGAGGGTGGTGGCTCATATGCCGGGAGACATCATTATCGGAGCTCTTTTTTCTGTCCACCACCAGCCCACGGTGGACAAGGTGCATGAAAGGAAGTGTGGGGCAGTTCGTGAACAGTATGGCATTCAGAGAGTGGAGGCCATGCTGCATACTCTGGAAAGGATCAACTCAGACCCCACACTCTTGCCCAACATCACACTGGGCTGTGAAATAAGGGATTCCTGCTGGCATTCAGCTGTGGCCCTAGAGCAGAGCATTGAGTTTATAAGGGACTCCCTCATTTCTTCAGAAGAAGAAGAAGGTTTGGTGCGCTGTGTGGATGGTTCTTCCTCTTCCTTCCGCTCCAAGAAGCCCATAGTAGGGGTCATTGGGCCTGGCTCCAGTTCTGTGGCCATTCAGGTCCAGAACTTGCTCCAGCTTTTCAACATACCTCAGATTGCTTACTCGGCAACAAGCATGGATCTGAGTGACAAGACTCTGTTCAAGTACTTCATGAGGGTTGTGCCTTCAGATGCCCAGCAGGCACGGGCCATGGTGGACATAGTAAAAAGGTACAACTGGACTTATGTGTCAGCTGTGCACACAGAAGGTAAGCATCTGTTTACATCCTTTGATGCATGTCTTATTATGCACTCAACAGATTCCCAGTTACAATATCAGGTTTTGGAAGACTAAAATATTCTTGATTATTTGGGAACTTTTCAGTTGCCCAGTTATACTAGTAATATAAGAAGGGGCTGAGTGGCAGATGTCTAGAAAGGCTTAGATTTAAGCTAATATGAGTGTTTACCTGGTCATCATTTGGTGGAATGAAAACTTTTTTACATTACGCATTATATTATCTGTACTTCAGCTATAATAATGCGAGAGATTTTTATGTTTCCTAAAAATCATCGAACACGGGATCCCTGGGTGGCACAGCGGTTTGGTGCCTGTCTTTGGCCCGGGGCACGATCCTAGAGACCCGGGATCGAATCCCACGTCGGGCTCCCGGTGCATGGAGCCTGCTTCTCCCTCTGCCTCTCTCTCTCTCTCTCTCTCTCTCTCTGACTGTCATAAGTAAATAAAAAAAATCATCGAACACCTCATAATTTTCACATTTAAAGTTGCTCCAATGGCCTATTGTTTTTGATAAAGAGAGCTACACATAAATGCAGGTAGGAACTGAAGGCAGCCAATTCTAGCCCAGGTATTCTGTGATAGAAAATTACTAAACAGTGTAGTCTTACAAGTATTTTTTTTTTCAAAAGAGAATATAGTTAAATCTGGAGTAGAGATATGTATGAATTAATATTACCTTTGACTAAGATAGAGAGTGTAAGTTTTAACAATTCAAAATTAGTTTTACTTTAAAATATGTTGCTTCTTTACACTGAAAGCAAAACAAGGAAGCAAAACATAATTGGGATTATATAACTATTAATAACAATATCATTCCTTTTAATTGGTTATGGTACTTTGAAAATATTTTTGTATACATGACTTGTTAATTCATGACCAAGGCTGTTTGGGATAGGTTTTGTTTTACTACAGAGGTTAAGGGATCCAAATGTGAGACTCACTAGTTACACAGCACTCTTTCTAGCACAACATACTGCATATACTAAAGCCAGAAGGTGCAAAATACTTTATATAGTTCATTGAAGCATTGTGAGGATCAGTTAAGATTAAAGAATCTTGCATTACATTATCAATGTGGTCCAAACAATCCAATGTTGTAAGATGTGGGGCTGAGTTATTGAGCAATTTATGAAATGACCAGAGTGAGCCTACTTTGGAGGTTGGTAACCAATCACCAATCAGATATAGCAAACTATTCATTATGAAGCGGCATACTATAGATTTCACTGTATGTCCACTCATTAATAATGTTCAGAGCTGCACAAATGTAAAATGAGCTTCTTTGCTAAATTAAGATTTTTATGCTTCTGGAGATTTTTACATTTAAGTTTGTAGTTTACTTTCCAGAGTATTGGTATATAGAGATTTTGAGCAATGGACAGATGATCAGATGAAGAGACCTTGGATTTTTTTCTAATGCTAAGGTTTTCTTTCTTTCTTGTTTCTTTCTTCTTTCTTTTTTAAAGATTTTATTTATTTGAAAAAGAAACAGAGCACGAGCAGAAGGGAGGGGCAGAGAGAGAGAGAGAGAGAGAGAGAGAGAGAGGAGGCTCCTTTACTGAGCAGGGAACCTGAAGTGGGGCTCGATCCCAGCACCCTGGGATCATGACCTGAGCTGAAGACAGATGCTTAACTGATTGAGCCACTCAGGCAACTCTAATGCTGAGATTTTCATTATAAAATTACTATTTCATTTTATTCTCACAACAATCCAGTGGTACAGGTAATCCAGATATTTGTTCTCATTTTAAAATACAAATGCTTTAAGAGTTTTAAAAGGCCATCCAATATATACCTAATAATAGTTTTAAGAGTAGGACTCCCAGTTACTGACTTCTACCTTAGGGTCCTATTATAATTGAACAGAATCCAATGGAATCACACCTGAGGATATATTTATATGACATATATTTATTAAGTACAAGTACCTGTAAGGACTTCTGATAATCCTGTGAAGGACAGCCCTTCTATTTTATATATCAATACTCTCAATGGGTATGCAATCTGGCAAAGGACATGAGACATTCATTAATACTTATATAACCATGATTCAAGATGGCAAGAAATTACAAATATGTCTCTAAAGTAAATTGACAGAGGAAAAAAAAATCAAGTCCTGTTCTGTGGTGATGAGATCCATGGTGGAGATTTTCAAGAAGGAAATGGAATTTGACAGATTTTAACAGGAAGAATACTGACAATTGATGAAAATTAAGAAGGGATGGATTTCTAGAAAAGAACATGAGGAAATATGAGGTGGGAAAGTAAAAACAATGCTTTTTTTAAAAAAAATTTATTTATTTATGATAGTCACAGAGAGAGAGAGAGAGGCAGAGACACAGGCAGAGGGAGAAGCAGGCTCCATGCACCGGAAGCCTGATGTGGGATTCGATCCCGGGTCTCCAGGATCGCGCCCTGGGCCAAAGGCAGGCGCCAAACCGCTGCGCCACCCAGGGATCCCAGTAAAAACAATGTTTAAAAAATACCAAGGATAAAGTTATGTTTTGGTTCACCTCGAATCATAAATTTCATTAGGGATTTCCCTCTAGCTTTAGAAGAATAGGTCTTGGTCTCTATGTAGGACATGCCAGTACAAGATTGTAGTCTAAATGAAACTCATTATTTTGCCCATTGGCTGTTAGTAATTTACATTTTTGACCTAGGTATACCAATACTGATCTAATAAAATGAATTATGACATCCATATAAGTATTATTGTATAGCTATTAAAATGAATGAGGCATTCTTTAGGTAATGAAATAATAATAATGGACTCCAAGATCATTTTACATGAAAAAAGCAAGGTGCAGTTTTGTGTAATGGCATGCTATTTGTGTAAAATGGAGTTAATATAAACTGTTTGATATTCAAAGAATTGTTCTCAGAGAACAAAACAGGTAACAGTTGCTGTTTGTGAAGAGGAAATAGAAGAGTTAGGGGATCATGTAGAATGGCAGAGACTTGCTTTTAATGTATGTCTCTAAATGTGCTTTTAATTATATGCAAACATTTGAAGTTGTGTATTATAAGCATAAACCACCTATTGGAATACAACCATTAAAAGGAAACAATCTATTTCTGGGTAAAAAATAAGCCAATGAAAATTCCATTGCCAAATTCAGGCAGATTTAATTATTTTGCCAAAAATGGGTCAAGAGAAATTTTATTGCCAAATACTGGCAAAATATTTGAATACTACCAGGATTCAGGGGAGAACACACTGAGTATGGTGGACAAAGACTGGAAGAAATACTGTCTGGCTTATATCTTTATGTGGTTTAATCAAAAGTATTTATGTTGCTTTGATCCCAAGTGGGTATGCGGATAATGAGGTTATGTGGTATCACATTTTAAAATTTATCAGTGTAAGAGTGGTGTGGTAGGAAGTTTCACAAGGTAAAAATCACATCTGGGATCAGAACAAAAGTCCTTGATTGTAATGAGATACAGCTCTGCTGGGTACTGTAGAAACTCCCCAAGATGATGCCTGGTTTCCTATGTTCTGGCCATACAGAAAGCCCCTGTGGGATTTTCCATGAAATGGTATACCATTTCTTTCTTCAGCCTCTTAAGCTGGCTGAATTGGGGTAACTCTGCTCTAGATCTCTTAGCCCTAGGATCCCAGACTGTTCCTATGTTCTTATAATTATTCTCCTATGCTCAGTTGATATTCCTTTTTTTTTTTAAAGAATATCAAACTTTCCAAATGCTTTCCCAAGAGGTATTAAGGACTACAAAAAAGATGTTGTCCCATTAAAAAAATCTTTTATCTCCTCCACCCTCCAAATTGCTCATTTATTTTATACTTAGACGTGGTAATACTGTGGTCACTCAGTACTGTTGGCAGTGATCACAAGATGTTCCTTCAAGCATTGTTGCTGTCACAGAATTCCAGAAGAGAGCACAAGGAGACTTGGGGTTTAGCATCAATGTTAATCTCATACACTTGCTATTTCCTTGATTTATAGGTTTTCTAGGCTATAGGACTTAATATTTACTGTGGCTTGTTGTGCCATGCAGAGATTGTGCCTAGGCCTCCTAGGCAAACAGATTCATAGTATGACAGCAAGAAAAGAAAAAAAAATATTTTTTTAAGGCAGGCCACACTAGTTCTTCAACTATGTGTAGGAAAGGAATATGCAATGACTCAGAAGAAAAAATATTACTCCTTTTAAAGGCGTCAATCCAGTCGGCATTCTCTCTGCTCTAAGAAAATTTAAGGGGTCCTTTTCCTCAGCACAAACATTGGCGTGTGTGCCCATTTATGTCACAGGAGCAGTGGAGCTTGCCTTTTTGGAGGTGTGGAAGACCGACTGCTTTGATGACTCTATTTGCTTTGTAACTTGATAGTTCCCTTCTACTACCATGCAGCACCAACTTTGTGACTGCTTTGGCTAATAAAATATGGTGGAAGTGAGGACTTCCTTCCTTGTCTGTCTGTCGTGGAACACTATCATCACCATGTTAAGGATGAGAGTACCCAGGTTTTTCAGATGAGACCATCTTAGACCACTTGACCTCAACTATTTGAGAGCACCAATGAAGGTCAGCACAGTTGCCTTCCTGACCCATTACTAATTGCAACAGAGCCCAGCCAAAGCCATAAACGATACTCAGCTAACCATAAATTTATGAGCAATAATGAATACCTTGAAGACAGAGTCCAGTATAAGCATACTCATTCCGATGACTTTAACTGCCCCACCCCCCAATTGGATATTACTACAATGGTTATACTTCAAAATCAAAACAGAGGCACCTGGGTGGCTCAGCGGATGAGTGTCTGCCTTTGGCTCAGGTCATGATCCTGGAGTCCTGGGATCAAGTCTCACATTGGGCACCCCATGCTTCTCCCTCTGCCTATGTCTCTGTCTCCCTCTTTGTATCTCTCATGAATAAATAAATAAAATCTTAAAAAAATCAAAACAAAATAAATGTATTAAAGCGAATTAATATTCTTTCTATTTA